TTTCGTGGTTTACTCCTTTGACAGCGAAAGGCACAAATCCCAAAATGTTTATAGCCTTGCCTGAGTTTTTGGTTAATATTAAATATTAAAATAATCAAAGCTGAATGCATTGTGCTGACATCTGTCTTTATTATTGGGGACTAACATTTTATTACTAAATGCAGGACACTTTATTACCACCATTATTTTAGTTGGAACTTACACCTCAAAGATGTCGCCACACTAATTTTGTAATGTACTTTATGAAACTAACGTTAGATGTCAGAGCCCAGTTTTTTAAAACCATAGATATATGAAGTTTTAACCTCAAATGCATTATGAATGTTTGTATATTTAATAGTCAAAAATTAAACTTTGTTATCATTCCATTCTCGCTTACAGGTTTAAATTAGGGAACTGGCTACTGGGAGTGACAGGAAAGCGGCAGACTCAACCTTTGCGGAATGTGATACTGTTCGCTCTGGGTCGTGCAATCGAAGACATGTAGTTCTCGATGGATGAGAAACGTTAGCATTGAATTCAGACAACACAAATTGAAAAGGGAAATGCTTTGTAACCAAAACAGGAGGTCACCGCACCGTGGAGAACTCGCAGAAAACCCATTCTAATGCAATTCAAACTTCTCAAGGTTGAAATCGGAAAGATTACATGATTGCAGCAGCTGGCGATGGTGCGAAGCTATTCTTTAAAGAATTGAGCCTAGAGTTTATTTGATAGAACTACGGTTATAGAAACGATAGTGAAATTGGCAGCGAAATAAGGCAAAAGTGTTACGCAGTTTGCAATCACGAAAAAATGTGTTGTTTGTGCGATCTTTGTGTGAAAGTTGTTGTAAAACGGTTCAGTTTAATGTACCTGTTATTGAAATTGTTCTTCCAAGGGCTTTAAATAAACTCCTATGCATAAGAAGTTACGAATTGCAAAATAAATGTTTTCTGTTCATTGAGCATGATGTGTTGCCTACAAACCAGGCTACACAAATATCGAGTGCCCATATTCAAATTAGGGATTTGCTTGAATCTCCCCAATCTGCCGTTTTTATTGAGGGTAAGGAGGGCCTCCACGAACGAATGGCCCAGGGCCCCGAAAAACTTAAAAACGGCACTGCATTTAAGGAATAATAAGTGCAACGTTGCTATTAATCGCATAAATTCAAATAAAATTTTAAAAGAAGGTGCGTACGTGGCGACATCTCAACTAGACTTCTAAAACTATAATTGATAGAAAGTGTATCGATTGCCATGGAGATGGCGCACTAGTACTTATTGTATTTAATCTATCTATTCAAAAACCGGGCCTTTAAACTACAATTGCTCTACAGATCTTGCAAGACTCCGTACATTTTGAACTGCCATTTATTCAGACTTCTCAATCAAAAGTTATAGACTAGAAACCAATTTCGAAAGAAAATTCAAAGGGCTGTAACTTTTGGACTAGTAGCCCAATCTTGGAACTGTTTGAAATTATGGATTCTACAGGCCACATTCTATAAGAAAAATTTTTTTCCGGGTCGATCTGAGACAATTTTTTTTTGGGGGCCTCAAAAAAAGGCAGTGTATAACCTTCCTTTTTTACCAAAAATCGACTGCACCAAAATTTCTCGGGAAACACTTTTTCTTATTAATTTTGGTGCGTAGAATCCAAATCAATTCGTACTTTTTCGATCAGACTTCTCAATCAAAAGTTATAGACTAGAAACCAATTTCGAAAAAAAATTCAAAGAGCTGTAACTTTTGAAATAGTAGCCCAATCTTGGAACTGTTTGAAATTATGGATTCTACAGGCCACATTCTATAAGAAAATTTTTTTTTCCGGTCGATCTGAGACAATTTTTTTCTTGGGCCAAAAAAAAAGGCAGTGTATAACCTTCCTTTTTTACCAAAAATCGACTACACCAAAATTTCTCGGGAAAACACTTTTCTTATTAATTTTGGTGCGTAGAATCCAAAACAATTCGTACTTTTTCGATCAGACTTCTCAATCAAAAGTTATAGACCAATTTCGAAAGAAAATTCAAAGGGCTGTAACTTTTGAACTAGTAGCCCAATCTTGGAACTGTTTGAAATTATGGATTCTACAGGCCACATTCTATAAGAAAATCTTTTTTCCCGGTCGATCTGAGACAATTTTTTTTTCGGGGCCCAAAAAAAGGCAGTGTATAACCTTCCTTTTTTACCAAAAAACGACTGCACCAAAATTTCTCGGGAAAACACTTTTTCTTATTAATTTTGGTGCGTAGAATCCAAAACAATTCGTACTTTTTCGATTAGATTTCTCAATCAAAAGTTATAGACTAGAAACCAATTTCGAAAGAAAATTCAAAGGGCTGTAACTTTTGAACTAGTAGCCCAATCTTGGAACTGTTTGAAATTATGGATTCTACAGGCCATATTCTACAAGAAAATGTTTCCCGATCGATCTGAGACAATCTTTTTTTCGGACCTCAAAAAAAGGCCATGTTTTGTCATACTTTTCCAAATTATTTTCTTGTAATAGTTGAACCAGTTCCAATGAGATGTCGCCACGTACGTATCTATCTACATAAGAACATTTAACAGACTTTGAAAATGTGCAATTTCATGTAGGATACAGGCCACATTCTATAAGAAAATCTTTTTTCCCTGTCGATTTGAGACAATTTATTTTTCAGCCCTCAAAAAAAGGCATGAACCAAAATGTATAAGTTTTTTCTTTGTCAATTTTGGAGTTGCCGTTTTTCGGTGAAACTTACGACTAAATTCCATGTAAAAAGAGACCCTTGTGATTTTTTTGGATCCTGCTTTGGAATCAGTTGAGGAAAAACAAAAGATTGTAGTAGTGATAAATATCTATTTTTAAAATGGACAAATCTAATTTTCGTTACAAATTAAAAAATGATAAGAAACAATATCTTTATGTACTGTATTATTCACAATAATACTATATATAGGTATTTACATACAGTTCAGCAAATCAGAAAAAAACTTTTAAAAGGAGATCGACAATTTGCTGAACAACTCAATAAATAAAGAATATACTTATACTATTGTCGTAAATAACAAACTTAAAATACACTTAAAATATTTTTACAAAAATTCAATTCACTGTCTATTGTTTTCTGAAAGTTTCTCGCGCAAGAACTGAATTTTATTTACAAAATATGCTTCGAGGGATTCCGCACATTTAAAAAATGGAGATTCTTTGGGATTATAGTAACGGCAATTATCGAATATCTTCGTCATGTCTCCTATAAATTCGCTAAGTTTGTTGTACGACTGCTCCGTTATTTTCGTTTCGACTTTCTGCAAATCTACAAAAGGAAAATGTTAACGATTAATCGCGAGGAAATTGTTTCTAATTACCCATTGGTTCTTTAATTACTCGGTAGTAATCGGGTGCTTCGTTTGGATCGACAGGTTCCATAAAGGGCCAAGCACTTTTGTGGCACTGAAATGAATCAGTTGTTTAGTTTAGATCAGTTTTCAAGATCAATGTGGCTCAGGTAAATATACTACAGATAACTCATCACAATTGGCAACAGTGACTTAGAGTTAAGCACTTTGTAAAATTTGAGGACTTAAGGACATTTTGGATCTTAAGTTTGAAAAAAATGTTTGTTTTGCTTCCCTCCACTTCATTGTACACTTGTACAGGGTGGCCAAATAAGAATGCGAGGTACTGTATCTGGGAACCGTAGAGGCTTGCGGTAAAAAAATTTATTACTAAAACGGCCACGAGAAAAACCTGGAAAATATTTTTAAGTTTCTGAAATGGCCGCTAGGGGGCGTAATTGCAATCTGGAATCTAAAAAAGTGATTTTTCTGTGAATACCGCTATATTAACCTAACAAAAAAATGTCCGGTCTTTGAAGACGACGATAATCTGAACCTTTTTTGTTTGACAATTTTTCCTGTATCTCTAAAAATGAAGTGGTGGGGGGTATTCAATGGTTTCCGTAAAGCACTCCCAATGCCAATGCCAATGCATTTAATTTTTTTAAGAAAATTAACCATTTTTGTCGGAATGTCGAAAAAAGCCCTCAAGCGGTGATATGTGAAACTAACAAAACTTCAAATATTATAATATTTGTAGCTGAAGAATAGCTCTTTTGAACTAACCCGAGTTTGTTTAAATCGGCTCAGCCGTTTCGAAGATACAGGGTGTTCTTTACGGAAACCTTTGAATACCCCCCACCACTTCATTTTTAGAGATACAAGAAAAATTGTCAAACAAAAATTGTTCAGATTATCGTCGACTTCAAAGACCGGGTATTTTTTTGTTAGGTTAATATAGCGGAATTCACAGAAACATCACTTTTTTAGATTCCAGATTGCAGTTAAGTCCCCTAGCGGTCATTTTAAAAACTTAAAAATATTTTCCAGGTTTTTCTCGTGGCCGTTTTAGTAATAAATTTTTTTACTGCAACCCTCTAGGATGGATAGATTCTCAGATACAGTACCTCGCATTCTTAGTTGGCCACCCTGTACATGAAACTGTAAAGTAATGGAAGCATTTTTTCCTTAATGTTTTGATGTCCAAAAATGCTAAAGAGCCTTCAGGGTTCTCAAAAGTCCCACTTCCCTTTTATGAACTATCTGTAGTAAAATTACCTCACCACTTGTATAAATACCTGTAATTGTTTAATTAATTTACGCAGACCCTCGAAATCTCGATCGCTCAAGTTTTTCATATTGGCAAAGTTGACCGAGGAATTCTTCTGGCAATTCGGGCAAACGTACTCGTCGATGCTATCAGCTTCCGACTGAAGTATGCCGACACAGCGACCGTGAAACCAGTCCTGGCAACTGTCGCAGCAAATGTAGAACCTACGAATTTGAAATGTTACTAATTTAAAATGTCGAGAGAGCGAGTCGTACTGGGATTCGTCGTAAGGCTGTCGGCACAAACAGAATATCTCTTGGGTGTCACGGGCGTGCCTGCATTCCGAACAAACGAATTCCGTCATCGTCTTGCTACTTTCTTCCGTAATGTCGACGCAATCGCCGTGAAACCAATTGTTGCACAGATCGCAACCGACGTAAAATCGAGTTTCGTCGTAGGGCGTTCGACATACGCAATAAATTTTTTCCTTCTTAATTTTGGGCGAGTTCAAGGTCGGCGTCTGTTGGCGCTGATTCCGTCGAGGTCTTCCCGCGCTCTTATTCGTGTTCGCACTGGGAGGCGTCAAGTTGCTAACGCTTGGAGGAGACGAGGGAGATACCTGAGCGGGTGGCAGCGTGGTTGTTGTGGATCTGCGCCTGTTTGTCGCACTACGCACCTCATCTTGTCTTGTACGTTCTAATCGTGTTTGTGCCGCTATTTCTTCTGCCACCTCCTTCTGTAAGAACAAGATTTGTTACACTTGTCTACATACATACATACAACACCGAAGTTTTCTTTATTTTCACAAACGCACAATATATTGGACAGTCAATACAACAAAAGATTAACAGCTTACTTACAAGTAGAGTTTTTTTGTTTGAAATCGCGTTCATTTTTGGTGGAATGTTTACAAAAGCTAGAAAATCCGCACGAGGGGCGAGTTATCTATTTCGGGGGCGAGAATCTATGTGTGTTATATGAGTTGCGATTTACCACTTTCCACATATTTTGTTGTAATATTAAATTTGCGTACAAGATCATATAATGAACCATCTTCCTCTAAACAGAAGGAATTTATTGCACCAAAGATGAGTCAAATCCCACCCTTTCTCAGAATATTGGTACCTGCTGATCTGACTCATTGTTCCCAAAACTTGCTTTTAATGTACATGTCACCTCTGGAAGCCAACAAGCACCTTCTGATAATCAAACGTGCTATCAATGAAAAGCATGATTGGCAAACCTGCAATTTTCCCCTAGAAAATTCGAGAGGACAGCAAACAAACAAGGTACGTTAAGCCGACGCAAATGTGTTTTCTTGTATTTATTAGGAAACGTCCACAGATACCTGAACGGTTCTGTTGACACCGTGCTTTATCATCTTGTATCTTAACCTTACTTCCGTATCGGCAAAAAATTGATATTGTTGTGCAAGACTTATTTGAAGATGATATAAACTGGAAGTGGCAGTTGAGAATAACGAAACATTGAACGTCCTAGAGAAACACAAAATGTTAGGTTATGATATTACGGCGAGGTAAAACTCCGCCAAATTTGTGTGTTGACTTCCACCAGATGTCACCATTCATCGGTCAGATAAATCAACGTCTCAACATATTCAACGGTTGCGTCGGCTGGACGTACCCAAGGTCAGCCAAATACACCCAACACCTTTTTCCATCCCAAAGAAGACATTTCAAGCGCGAAATTAAAATTTGACCACGTTGGGTTGGGGCAAGGATGGGGCCAACCAATAATTATGACGGTATATCACCGTTTCATTAACGACTACATCACTGAGTGTAAGCCCACTCTGACTTTGAGACCTGCGCAAGCGCCAAATTCAAGGTGATTCGCCCCTAAAGGTTATTGCTAATGAAATATATCAGAAGTGTCACTGATCTCTTCGGAGGGATACAAATTTGGTTAAACGAGAGGCAATAAGATTCTTGAAAATTTTCTTGACTTTGAGATATTTTGAAAAACTGAATTTTTCGATTGCACGATCTAATTTTTCCCGAGTTACTATTTGACCTATAGCAAAACCAATGACACTTTTCCTCCACAGCAACTTTTAATGCATTTTAAGGTGGCGTTGTAATTTTTTAATCTGACATTTCATCTTTACTGACTGATTTTGTTTGTGGTCGCAGAATAAATTTTGTTTTTGTAAAATCATGCAAGTCGTGTGTTTATTCGATCCATTTAATGATTCAGATGAATCTCTCATGCTCAATTCCGACATCTGATGCGCGCCCAAAGTTCATTTCAAGTGCTTTCAAAATTTGGTAAATGACCTTTTTTGGAGTCGAAGGAGTAGTAATTAATTACCCCTCCACTACATAAAACGCAAATGTTTAAGCGATCTTTTTCATACAACATAGCAAGTGTATATAACAATATTCCCGCGTATATAAAAAGAAAAGAAAAAGGCGCATTTAAACGAAATTATTTTCATTTACTTCTACGCGAGCAAAACAATTGATCATTTTTCTTCCCCTTTTCCTTTTCTTCTTCTTTATTTAGAATCATGACTGATTTATTTCTCTCTCTCCCCCTTTCAATATACATATTTTTTAGTTCATTCCACTAATTCTTTTATTTGCTCAGTTTAGGGTGAGGTTAAGTGGTAGAGCAGTTCTAGGGTCTCACCACAAAACTGAACTTCGCCCCATTAGATTACGGAACATTAATTTCATTTAATTTTAATTATTTAGTTTATTATCTATTTGAATGTTTATATATTTTTTTTCCTTCTGTATTTCCAGTAATCTAATAAATGTCACTTATTATTATTAGAATTGAATTGTTTTGTTGTGCTGGGGTGCGGATGTGTACTGAGAGAAATTTTATTAAGAAGAGGTGTTTTGTATGTAACCCGAAATTTAAGGGCCACAGCAATATTGTTATGTAAACTATGTAATGAGGATGTTTTTATTGTTATCAGCATCTGTAGTATAATGGGTCATCATGTATAAGTTAAATTTTAATTGTTTTTAACGATAAATTTGGATTGAGCATAAATTCGATCATATTATTTAAATTTAAAGTCACTACTGATAGGTATCGAAATTGTTAGATGCTTAATTTTGTTAATTATATTTTAATTGATTTATTGTTACATTACGTTACGAAAGATTAGGGACATCTGGAAATAATTGCAGGAAGCGTTTATTTTTTCAAAGTTTATCTCATTTAAATCCGGTTTTGCGATAAGACGTTCGTTTTCGTCCCGTAAAAGCTACTTAATTTCAAGATAAACAGGTGTTCGCCGTAAGTAAACACAGGTGTTAGTTTATTGAAGACCCGCAGGTACTGCTGGTGGGTTAAAAGGAATTTTACTTGTGAAAGTTGACAAAATGGAAGATGTGCCCACGATAAATTTTTCTATAGGCCGTTAAGGTTACTGTGTTTCTCGAATTCATAAAATTTAAGTCTTGATCGGATATCTTCGTTGTATCGGATGCCGACGTGCCTTGGGAAATTTATACCCAAAATTTGTATGTAAAAGGTTTTGTGAGCGCCTGAGTTTAAGTGAGTTAACTGGACAGGTTTTTATGTAGGAGGTTTAGGGCCCGTTTGCCATTGCACATAGGAATATATTGTTGTGTAAACACGTTATTTTAGTCTAAACACCAAAAATAATGACGGGGCATCCTGTATGTGAAATTATTTCAATTTATTAAGTAAATTTGGGGAATTATTTACGAAATAAACAAAGTTAGTTCATTTCACTTGAAATTGTATTTTAGCGTTTGTTTTTCCTCTTGAGAATTGTTTGTAATTGTGTCGTTTTAGTTTTAAATTTTATCGCTTTTGTAATTTATTCAATTTAAATAAGGTTTTAGAAGTAAGACACATCTGGTCGTTGCGATTAGTTTTTTCACCAGGCGAACTTTAATTACCGCAGGTGTTTCATATTGGAGTGAAGTGGAGACGCGTTCCTTCGAACCTGGTGTTATGAAGTCTAAGTGCCGGCCCCTGTGGCGCAGTTCAGTTCAAGCTGGACTGTGGTGCTAAGGGTCCCTGGTTCGAATCCGGGTTCGGGCATGGATATTTGTAAATGTATAGTGGATTGGGTTGGTAGAGCAGCTGAAACCCCGCCCACTCAAAAATAAACACAAACAAATATAATAAAATAAGTGTGATTGGCGGTTTATTTGAAAATTCATAAAGGAGATCATGGAAGTAGTGTTTCCTTAAATACTGGGGACGGGTGCTAAATGCCGTTAGTTTCGCAACGGTTTAAAAGACGTGTAAATTTGTTTACGCTAATTTCTCAGGCAGTCAGTCCGATTTGTTTTGTTGAAGACGCAGTTCGTCATTTTTATAATAATTTTGTGCAGAAGCAAAATAACCAAAGTGAAGTTCCGGAAGCGTCCAGCGTTCGTGTGCGAGTTGAGTGCGCCTTATATCGCAAATCTTGTACCGCCAGATTATTTGGATTATTAAGAAAAAACTGTAGGTAATTTTCAGATTTCTTATTTTACTTGTTGACCGCATGCGTGCGGAGTAATATGTTCAAACAAGCTTTGTGAGTCTTTATTTCTAAGTCTAAGTCTCTCGAATTATGAAATTTTATGTTAATATTAGGATTTTCTTCTAGGAGATACTGGATATGTATGAGGAGAGATTATAAAATTATAAGTTTCAATTTTGATTTGTTTTGAGCTAGCTGTTTTGTAGGTGGTGTACTGACGGCACACAGCAATATATTTGAATTGTAGCCAACTTACCTTCAATCTTGGAGTCTGTCCTGAATAACCTAACAGTTAGTCTGGAAGTCCCCTTCCTCAATTAAACCTTCAGTACACGACTGTTAATGGCAAGCGATAAAGTTACTTCAGTCCTTGCCCACAAGTGTTAGATTTTACCATAGCAACACATCTAGAGGTGAAAAAGACTACACCACCCTCACCTTATGAGCACAGGTCTCGTATTTTTGGTGGGCCAAAAGACAAACGATGAGAAAAGAGAGAAAGGAGAGTTCCAATTGTTTTGAAGTGGTCGATTCCACCATACCATTTTCCAATGACATAAGTAGTATAAATGCATTTGAGAACTTTGAAACACGCCATCTCTTGACAAAATATTTTGCACATTATTTTCAGCAAGCCACCTTCAAATACTCCTAGGCACCCCTGACGAGTCAAGATACTCACTCGACCTTTTACTGTATTTGCGGTTACAAAGAGTAGACTTACAGATTAAATGAACTTATCCTTCTATCTTACATACATACATACAATGATTCAAAATTTTATTCAAGACAACTAGACTGCTGCATTTAGTAAATTGGGATCTTATCCCACGCTTGAACTCGATCACTCACCTGTATTTCACACTGCAATTCTCTTTCCAATAGCGCCCTCTTTCGCAATATTTCCTTTTTGAGCGCCTCCTTCTGACGAAAGAGCGCAACCATAATTTTCGTTTTCATCGCGACACGTTTCTCGTCTTCCTGCGTGTCTTTTAGCTTAACTCGCGCGCGCGGCGATACCGGTTTATCTTTAACTATCTGATGAATACTAAAATGTATCCGATAATTAGTTTTAATGCGTCAACTGTCGTCGGTCACACTTACGGCGGTTCCTCTTTTTTAATTTCGTTACTCTTGGTAAACCGACTACGCTTGGGTGTCTCCATGACCCATTCGGTGTCGTCGTCCCTCGAGTTCGGCGGCCGTTTGCGCACGGGCATGCGGATCGTACTGATTATTGGAGGATTGCTAGGTCGTGGTAGCACGGGCGGTAACTCGGGCTCCTGCTTCATTTTGTTCTCTTGGTATCGTTGCAGCTGGAGTAATTTCTCCTCGATTTCCGGATTCAAATTCTCTTGTTTTAAAGCGGTTTTAATCGCTGCACGTAAAACATAAGTTTATGAGAAAAGAAAAATAATAAGGAAATAAAAGTGGAAAAGAAATAATAGTGATAGACCCAAAGCAAAACGACCAAACTAAATAACGAAAGTGTTGAGGGGGGCGACATACTAAGAAAAGTCTGTGATATTTGTTTGTAAACTTTTATTACATAAATTTGGAATACATGAAATCGATACACATCATTTGTAATACTTTTTACTTAGAGATTACGAACGAGTAGCAAATGTTTCCAAACACAAAAAGGTATTTAACGTTAATCAGTCGAAACATTGATTAAAAACGAATAAAAAACGCTTACACGAAGAAAATAAAAAAAGCAAAATATCACAGACTCAAACCAAAGTCTAAAGTAACGTTTAAAAACATTTGCACGTAGGAACATAAGTCTTTTCATCCTTAATACTATCTGTCTAGAGTATAAAAAATCAGCTATATTCGACTACTGAAATTGTCGTTTTGCAATGGGTATTATACAGTTAGGATTCGACACTATAACTGAAGGATGATATTGAAACATACTTTGCTGAATGTAATCGGGCGTAACAACAAATTGCTTATTGGCCTCGCTCGTCGAAAGCGGCGGTTGAATTACGGCAGTCAGTTGATTCGTCTCCATATTCGCCTTCATCGCTTGAAGTAAGGCGGACGATTGCTGCCCGTTAACTAGTACTTGACGAATTGCGCTAGTCGAATTGCCGTTGGCCACCTGCAAATGTTGACAGTCTGATTTTTTTTTTAGAGAAAAGACCCAAACAAGTGTCTCCATCTACTGACGCGATTTAGTATTAGTGAATTACAGATCTCTACAGCGCTGTGTCGCAAAGAGACCTTAAAAGTAATGTAGCACGCCATTTGTTAAATTAAAATAAAACCAGACGCAAAATCCTGTAGAAATCTATAACTCCATCACTAGTGTCCACAAACTAGTAGATTGTACCATGATAGTTAACAACTTCAGTTCAGTAGGCTAAAGTTGAACTCTATGGTATAACCCTTGAATAAGCACCTTAAAGAAGTATAACTGCATAGGAAAACCTGAAATTGGTGTAAGATGTGTTGCATACACTGCAAAGTGGTTAATCACCACAAATATTGAAGGATATTTGGCCTCGGGCGGTAAATAATGACTATTTTAAACAGGGAAACCAGTTATACTTAGGGGTCCTCTGTTTTCCTTGTTTATCAGAGTTGAACAGTGTTGTCATATTTACCAGATCCTTATATGGAGCTAGGTAAAGTTTGATTGTTTATTATGTAAAGATAATGGTCCTTAGAACAGTTCTTGTTGTTTTTTTATTAGATTAAACTACATTTTTTACTTTATTTATTGTTCCTTATGATCTATTGATCTTACATTTCAGATTGATCCTCCCTTACATAATATTGTTATTGGCATTGAATAAAAGCTTATTCAATATTTTAATCTAGTTTATTCAAACTCAAAGCGCTTGCCAAAAATCTGGCAACGTTGGAATTTTAAAGAAGTAAAGAAATCTGCAAAGTCGGTAACTAGCTTTAAATTTGTGGTTCACTTTCCCCCACAACAGAGGGACGACAGAATCCTGGGCAGATTTTCTTATTTCATCAGTTAACACGGGCGTTATACTTCTTTAAAGTGCTTATTCAATGGTATAACCAAACCCAGTGGCGGATTTACATATAAGCACAGCTTTAGAGGGCGGCATTTTTTGCACTGTATTTATTTTAGGTAACATTTTAAGTTTTAAAATAAGTCCCCTAACATCTTTAATTAAAATAATGAAATAAATTGAAATTGGTAGATAGTTTAAACAAACTGTAAGAACGATAATCGACAATGCAAAGTTTTGACGGGTGTGAAAACTGAATCTTAGATATATTGTATTTCTTTTCATATTAGTTTTAAAAATTTCGTTATAATTTGATTTTTAATACAGTAGAACCCCGATTATCCGTGCTCAATGGGACCGGATGGCGCACGGATAATTGAAAAGCACGGATAATCCAAACAATTTATTGTTTCTTAGGGTAGGCATACGTATATGTATACTAAAAATATAAGAAAAAGATCAAACTAAGGTATGTACAATAAATTCTACAAAAAAGTACAGTTGCAACTTACATGTAGCACGCAGTCAAATGCGCTAATGCTAAATGGCTAAATTCCGCTTAACCTGCATCGGCTGATGAAAGATAATTCTCTGAGCATGCGCGCACTCGGTATTACAGCCTGCGTCTCCCTCATGGACTAGCGAAAATTCTCGTAAAGTGATTTACGGCAATGGTATTTCAATTAAAACTTTAAAAATGTAATTTCAAAAACGCGCAAGCATGGCACGGATAATCCGCATCCCGGATAATTCGCGCACGGATAATCGGGGTTCTACTGTAGCTTCTTAAAATTGATTGCAATTTAAAGATTATTTTGGGGCGCATATCTTTGGGTGTGCCTAGGGGCGCAAAAACTTTAAATCCGCCACTGACCAAACCCAAAGTCTACAACATACCTGTTGAAGTACAGTCGTCGGCTGCAATGTGTTTGGCGATGGCTGAATGGATTTCTCAAAGTTGGCCTGGACAGGATTCGTCTGTATTTTAATTTCTTGAATTGGCGGTTGAGGTTGCGCCGTAACTTGCTGTACCGGCGCCAAGGGGGGAGGCTGAGAATTCGGCGATCCTACGGTTTCGGCGCCGGTTGGTTGTACCGCCAAATATATTTTTGTAGGCCCCAGGACACCCTGTTTACCGGTCGAAGCTTGAGCTGCAAATGAAACATTATGCCTTAAATGCACCGCTGTATTATTTGTTGGCATTGTGAACACGCTACTAGATTTTATTTATGTTGCATTCATTACAAGAAGGTAGTAGATGGCGCTATGTTTGTAGATAAACACACAGTAAAAATATAAAACGGCACCAAATTATTGTGAAGTAGTTTAGTGGTGCCCAGGTAAATTTAAGAAAATGGGGGGGGGGGGGCGACTCTTTTTCGAGATCAGTGAGCGATGGGGCCTGAGGGTAGGGGGGGGGGGGTTAAAAATTAATTTTATCTCTCATTGTATCCTACTTAACGATCTCAACGAAAGGAACAGTTTTCTATCAACTACTGCCCTTCTTTCGGTCCTCTTATCAAAGTACGGGGTAGAGGGGGAGAGCGGTACTAGTTTTATCCTTCATGGTACTCTAATGAAAGGTCTCATCGTGATTGGGTATATTCCCTTATACCTCAAGGACAGATTGTCGGAAGAGGGTACTCACAAAGGGCGATTCAGACGTATGCAAGAAATATATTTATTGGCGATGTCAAAACAAAAGCTATTTCGGTTTAAAAAAATGCGCTTTATCTGCACAAGAGTTGTGCACAATTTATACTTATTTTCTTTGTTTTTAGACATTACTAGCCATTAGGGGCAGTTCAATGTGCCCTTTGAGTCACTACATTTTATCGTTGCAAAACTACTAATTAAGGGAATTAAGGGATTGTTTTGAATCAGATGAATGAACAACATAATTTGTGATGACAATGATTAATACACAGGGTGGTTCAGACCACCCGTCCATCCGTTATCTCAGGGACTTAATAGTATATTAAGTATGGAGAACGGTAAGGGATTTTTACCGTTCGAAGACAATTGTTTGGAGGAGGAGGGGAGCGACGACTCCAATTATTGTCTGAGAACGGTAACCCTTAACGTTCGACGTGCTTATAACATTTTTTGCGCGATCGAAATTAAAATTATGCAACCAATATAAATATGCACTAAGTAATTAACGAGCAGAATAAATCGAAATGATCGAAGTGGTATGGTGTACATCACTAGGGAACCAGTTTATTTGTCAAAACTGAAATTAATAATTTCTTGTGCATGTGTCTGATGTAGTTTGCTAGCTTTGCACTTCCGTTATGACTATATGAGCGAGGTATTCGCCGGTGGCCGAATGGTATGTCGAAGATTTTACAGAACAAAATTGTAATTGGAATGTATTAAAAAAAACGAAAGCACATCTTCAAACACGTTGATCTCTATTGCTTCAGGTTTAAATGAAGAACGTGTTCTTTCTATAGGAAACATCAGCACAAATTGTACGTTTAATGTAACAATAATTTTATTAAAGATTAAATGTAATGTAAGACTGTTAACATTGAACTGATTGTTTTTAAAAAGGCGTCGGTAAGTATTTTTGCTGTTCTGTTTTTAGATCGGTAAGTAATTTTGGCGTCGTCGTAATCATAGCAACTGGTAAATTCCACTTACTGTCATGGAAACACACATGGTAAATAGTCAGAAATGACCGATCGCGCAAAAACATTTTTAACAAATACCCAGAGATCTTACTAATATTGTTGTTCTCTATCAAATGACCCTGAAAATTTACCCCCGGGAGCAACTTTGTAATTTCAAACGGGAACTTACATTTTTTATGCCATATTTAGATTCTACTCAAAAAATTGTGAAGATTTTATTCTAAACATTTTATGTTGTGGTAACAGGTGGCGCTGTAATCACTTGGCAGTAAAGTTGTACCTTTATAAATGCTTAAAGTAACAATTTTTTTTAATTCCAATATTATTTTTGGCATGAGCTGAGATTAGGTTTTTTTTCTATGATGTTTTATGGTTTTTTTACCATTTAAAATTAGTTTCTGCGATTACAACGCCACCTATTATCACGACAAACAAATGTGTCGAATAAATTCTTCATAGTTTTTGAGTAGAATCGAAATATTAAATAAAAAAATGTAAAAAAGGTTTTCGCCTGAAGGCGAGCAACTGTAGCGCATTTTCCATGAATTGATCAGTACTTCTCCAAAGGTCATGTAACGTAAGAAGTTAACATTGCGTAGTTTGGGCATGCGTACATCTGATCTTTACAATATGCGATGGGCTTGCCTTTATTAGAAGCATCTGTAGTTAAAATTTCAAAAAAATATCTCCACAAATAAGAAAGTTGACATTGCGAATGCGCACATCTCATTTTTATAATATGCGATATGCTTGTCTTTACTTGAAGCATCTGTGGTTAAAAATTTAAACTATAAAAAAAGTTGACATGCGCACATTAATCGTAAAGGTTTTTCTTGGTTAAGGTGCCAACAATATTAGTAAAACTCCTGGGCTATTTTTTAAAAATATTCGTAAGTTAGAAAACGGGTGGACAGATGGTTTGAACCACCTTGTATGTTAAAATCCACCAACTGCTCTGTAGCTCAAAACTTCATTTTTGGATTACACGCATCTGTACCTCGTAAATGAACATGACATTGTGCATTTCAAAAATTTTCCATTTTCCCGATATAAGAAGGTTTTATGGAAAAGGTGAAAGTTCGCAAATTTTCTCAGAATGGCACAAAAATTACATCCCATAGTAAATTCAGTGCACAGAATGGCCACAGATTCGTTCTCGGGTTCTTCCTCAAAAAAGTCAAAGTTGGACTTCACGGCTTCCTATAATTACCAGGCTAAATTGTATGAAATTTGACAACACTGTTTTGTTGGTCTATCATTTTATGTCAGTGTCACTTTACCACTTTTGAAAATGGCAAAAATAAACATCATTGGTTTCTTAATAATTCAGTAACACAACAGTCGAGATGGTAGGCGAACTGTTTGGTATTGATGCGGCGTTGCCAGCTCTTACAGCGGAGCCTGGTAATTATAGGAAGCCGTGACATAACCCCCTTCTGAACGCCCTAGCTTCCTAATTAGTTGAGATAACGCTCGAGTTGCCTTTGGAGGTTCAAGTTAAGTACGATTTCCTATGTAAACAAAAATTCCAAAGGTGACTCGACAGCAAGGGGACAGGGGGGGGAGGGGTGTGTAACGCCAGGCTCGACCCCGCGTATGAATGGATGACCACCATGATCAATCGGCTGTGTCGTCGGGTCAGACCGTCCACTGGGAAAGCATTGTGGGATGGTGGCAGCAGACTGACTAGCTGAGGGTAGGCTGTTCTCGAATGACCTACTCCCGAGCGAAATCAGGCCTAGTTTCCGCTACCCTTTCGAACCTAATAACGCTGGCGTCTAGATAGACGTCCACTTGTTGGGCTCTGTGATAGGTGGAGAGGCAGAGGGACGAATTTACACTCTTCTGACATGGAGACTGATCAAAACAATAAACCAGAGGGAGTGTCCCAGGATATCCCTCAAACGACCAAAGTCACTGAGTCTCAACAACACACAAAACCACGCAAGCGCATTTACATCACTGAGCAGAAGAGGAGAAAGTAGCGCAGGCTGATCCAAATGGGTCAAACTGGTCCAACAGTCACCTTCAAACCATCCAATTCCCGTGACCCAATCCAGAAAATCCTTACACATTCCACAAAAAAACGTCGTTAATTTTACTTATATTCGTAGTGTTTGCATATTATAAAGTTTCATTTAAATCTTCATAAATAAAAAAGTTAGGATCGCACATGAGTTAAACCAAATTTTTGACACTGCGCATGCGTAAAACCAAAAAAATATGGGTATGCACGGAATCCTTGGAGCAAGCTCTTTCAAATGAGTCCTATATCGCCAAAGTCGATTCAGTGGTTTAGAAGGAGTACGTGTGATGGACAGACGGACGTCAAAATGCAGCGATTTTTCACTTTGAGGAAAATACGTTAACAACCCATACCGCAAACGAGTACTTCCAAAAAAAAACCTAAATTTCATCCTCACTAATCCTTCAGCAAATTGACAACCAAATCCTCGATTTCACTTCCCACATACTCGGATCACAACCATAGATGCAATAGTACGCTAATTTAAAATTTCAGATAAAGGCTCTAGCACTGACCTTCCAACAGCAGCTACCACATCAAAAACACTTCAGCACTCTACACCGACTACCTCCCTACCCCACTTACTCGCCTCCAGAACCCCAGGAGGAGAAACTCCCCAGTCCCGTTTTTGATATACTACACATATTCCTGAACACAAAAAGGGGCAGAATCGCGCATGCGCAGGTGGTATCTGTGCTACCCACAGCAAATTTGTTATTCTTTGTATGTAATAAATTCCTTTAATGCAAATTCCTAGCTGAGAGGACACGAGTCCTGAACACCTACCATCTTGTATATGTTATCAATTAATTGTCAACTCCCCCCCCCTTCCCCCAAATACACGTTTTTTAATTTTTATTTTTGGTCACTAATGAGACCTTAACAATAGAACTGATTTTTACAACTTACACAATCTTTCAATTCTTCTTGATGGACAAATGCAACTGATAGTAGTTAGAACATTCGCCCGTAGAATAAGGACCAATCATGTTGCTCTGGGAAGTAGAGGAAACAATTCCAAAGAAACTCGAAGTCACAGTGTTAAAAAACAAAATATTGTAAAGTCGACAATTGCGCCTAATCCATTACATACTCTACTCTCTACTCCAAGAACGCTGCAATTACATAACCGCCATAGCGAGTTGTATAGGGAGGTATACGTGAGCAAATTACTATCTACTTTTGTATTCAAATGCAAACGATTGTGACCTTACCCTTGTAACTCTCATCTTACCTTTAAGCAGCTGCTGCTTAACTTGATGTTGGACCGCCGACAACTGTTGGGGGGTGAAATCCGCGCCCTGCAAACCTTGCAAAACAATTCGAGGTCCTTGTTGCGTTTGAATTACTTGCGCCGTAACGCACTTGATCACAGTACCGGGCGGTTGCCCGATGAGTAACTGCTCCATCGTAGCTTGGTCAACTTGATTAGCATTATCCTGGACTATCTTCGTCGTGGTCATTTGCTCCTGAGCGACCGGCTGCGATACCTGCTGTATGACCTGTCGATTCGGCGTGCCGGTTTGGACTTGCGGCACCTGGGCGGTGTGAGCGATATTGCCAGGGGTTATTTGGGCGACAACTTGCGCCTGTCCGTTGCCCGTTGGACGGATTAGCACTTGTTGTCCGTTAACCGACGCCACTTGGAGCTTTCCAGTCGCCAACTGTTGCGCGAGCGTCGGGTTGTTTACGATTATTTGGTTGGTAACAATCTAAATCGAATGATATTATCGAGGGGTGGAAACTTGAAGGTGTCATACCTGTTGTTGGCCGGATGTGGTTATCACCTGCTGCCCGCCGACAACAACTTGGTGCTGTAGGACTTGACCGCCGCTTACCACCACCGAGTTTGGGGTCGCCGCTTTTTGTACCAGAGGTGCACCCTGTTGTTTGACGATGATCTGTTGCGTTTTCGTCGGACTTTGAGGTTGGATTTGTTGTACCGTCTTCAACTGACCGCTCTGCAGGACCAATTTGCCTGTTGGATTATTAGCCGTTTTAATAATAGCTTTGGTAGACGTCACCGGCGGAGTTTTTGGCGCGGTTGTTGCCGGATGTATTTGTGTCGTGGTGAGCACTTGCAATTTTCCATCCGGCATTTGTACTATTTGTTGACCTGGCATTAGGCCTTTGACCGTTAGTCGCCCGTCCGGTGATCGCATTATTTGAACGCGTTGCGGTGTTTCCGCCGCGGTTTTTAGTGTTGTAGTTGTTGTCGAGGTTGGTACAGTTGTTACTATGGTACAATTAAAAAAAAATTCAATATATCTACAGGTGTCTTTCACAAGATTTAAGATAGGGAGAAATCAACATACCTGGCTGTTGGACTTGTATCTGTTGAACAGTTGGAACCGTCGATGTCTGCACTTTAATTAGCGATTGCGAATTCGGAGGGGTTTTCGGCAGAATGTTCGCAGCTCCCGCGATCACTCTCGTCGTTCCATCCGCCGCTTTGGTCATAAAGATGCGACGTCCCGTGAACTTGTTGTTGCCGGTCGGCGTCGTATTAGCGGTCAGTAAGGATGTCAAAGTCGATTTCGTCGAGAGATTGGCGCCCGGCATTACGACATTCTTCACAATCTTCATTTGACCATCTGCAGTTGTAACTGGAAATATCGAACTTTAGTATGGCAACATAGCGTGACGTTTGATCATCGACTAATCACTCCAAAACGTACCTTTCGGTTGAATTGGAGTAGGAATTGTAGTTTTAGTAGAAGCGGAAGAAGTGTTAGTACTAGCAGTAGTGGTAGAGGCAGCTTTTAACAGTTAAGAACGATTATTTCTGATTACGAGGGAAGTGTGCCGAGAACTAACCTTGCGCCGTGTTGCCCACCATTTTAATGATCTGGCCTTGCGGACTTTTCAATTCCAAAGCCCTCTTTTGTTGATGGGCGGCTCGCTGCAATCGCAACTGCTGTTCCATTTTTTCTTTAATCTCTTCGGGGGTCGCCTTGCTGGTAACCGACACTTTGGTAGGTGTGGTTTCCGCGGGAACCTCGGTCACTGCACGTGCTGGGGGTAGATTCCCGGTACGACTCCTAGTGATAACTTGGACATTAGCCTTCTCTATCCTGTAGGTACACACAAACGCAAGCAGTTAGTGAACAACATGCACAAATGTGAGATCAACGAACATTTAGATCTATCCCTCAATTTAACACTACAAACTAAAGCCGCCGACCGTGATACTATCGAATTCTTCTAGCGTCAAAAACTAATTCTACAGAAGTTAATGTCGGGTTATGTTTGTCGACAACTATAGGAAATTAAAGCCGAAATTTACATAAGCCCAATAAAGCATCGTTCGAAACGTGCCATCTTACTTTTCTCCATACTGCTTAATTTCCCACAGTTCCAATTTGTCTTCGTCGACCCACTCTTCGGTCACTTGGGGATCCGTACATTGCGGCGATTCGGGACGTTTACGCTTGCGCAATCCGCTACGAATTGACGTTACCTCTGAAAACACGATTATGAGAATGAATTAATGGGAATTGCAACGCTATAGTTATGTCCCGGTAACTAGCAGAGCAGAAATTGACGTAGTGAATAATTAGGGTCCCAACTAATAATTTTTTGTTCCTCGTCAAAGTTGCAAAACGCAAAAGAGAGCAACCATCCGTTTCAGTAAGATCAGTACACACACAAAATCTACTTGTGCGCATGCGCGCTCAAAGCTTTTGACAGGTTTAATATACTCCATCGATTTGCTTTTATTAACAGGTGCTTCTGTTTCAATCTGAGAATAAGAGAGAGCGCCTCTCGGCCTGAAAATTAATAGGTGTCGTCTCTTACCAGCCGCGTCCCATTTTTAATGACAGTTGTCATTGGAATGTACATGATTTGTTTCACTTTATTTACTCTTGCCGTTAAAGTGATCACTTTATCTACTCTTGCTGTTAAAGAGAGACTTTAGCGTTACTCATTCAAGAGTTGTTGAATACCAAAAAGACACAAAACCTTCAACAACTCTAATATACACAACTCCATTTTGAGTTTCATTACACCATGAATTTCTCCGACTGACTCTACTCATTCAAACCTATGTGCTATAAAATAAAGAAAATTAATTTATCAAGCACTAACGACTGTTTCATAACAAGGGGCATTACTGGACTGCCGAGTTTGGAGATTTCATTCCGACTATTTACATAAGTATAATTAACCGTAATTAGTTGAATGAGTAGCAAATAACAGGCTCCCATTGCGTCGAGATTACATCCGTTAGAAGAGCCCTTAAAAAACTTGAATTTTGACACCGGTCCCGTATTTTTAAGACGTCTGGGAAGGAAGTTTTTATTTTCACTTTCCTCCATGAAATAGCCAAATTTTATAAGTAGACTTCGAATTATATGCATGGAGCATTTTTTTGCATAATTTCCGAGATTTTTGCATTATCTGCATATTTTAAACAAAGTTGCATTTTTCTACATTTTTTAAACAATTTGAGTACTTACCGACTGAATCTTAGAGACGCTTAAAATTAAATTCGTCACAGCAGGTAGGTACATTGTAACAGGTAGTACCATTTCAAACCCTATTCATTAAATCATTACCTGGAATGCAGATATTTAAAAACAAATATCCAAAAAAAAAATGCTGGCTATTCATTTTTGTCTAATGTGAACAAGATTTGTCAAGGAGAATTCATTGAAGATTTAGATATAAGCCCTGGTATCATTTCTAAATTAAAATATGCTCCTATTACTTCCGTAGACGTAGAGAGATCATTTTCTGTGTATAAAAATATGTACACAGATAAACGCCGCAAATTTTTGGTAGAAAACTTTGAGCGGCACATTGTTGTAAAATGTTTTAATGTTTAGATTTAGTGCTTTTAGCTAATAACTACTTTAAAGAAATGAATTTTTTAAACACATGTTTGTTTATTTTTGTTGCATATTTTCTCATTTCTCTCGCATATTTTCTAAAAAATCCTGCATAAATATGCGCATATTTTCCTCATTTTTTCATGCATATAATCCGAAGTCTATTTATAAGGAGTAAACTCGTTTTTTTAATGGGAATACTTTTGTTTATTTTGTTTAACCGTATTTAAATCTTTTTGCTTTCTGTCTTTTGCATCTTTGCAACTTATTTGTAAGTACTATAGTTTTTCACACTTTCTGTACATTTATTTTGGCAACCGTACCGTATTTAAATTTTGCTTTTACATTTAGTTTACCGCATCGTATTTGTAGCTTTTGCTTTTTCTTGCACAGTAATTTCTACCGTTCCATTTCATTGCAAGGGAAGCTTTTTGTTACTTTCCGTTTCATTAATTATAAGAAGGGGGGATAATGTTTCGCTTTCCTGCATTTGATTTCCCGTAGATATCGGTACCGAGTCCCATTTATTTACTATTCCCGCTTAGGGAAACTGCTGTGCACTTTAATTTTGTTTTACCATTCACCAGTAGCCGGTGGCCGCTTGCCTTTTAGAATTCCTGGAGCTGCTGTTTACTCCAATTGAGTTTGCCAGAGGCTTGACCAGAGGCAAGGTCGTATCCTTGGTGACGCTCGAGTCCGCCCGCCCGTCCGTTCGACCGACTGAACACCCAGGTTTCCATCGACTGCAGCTACTTTCGTCCGCTCACATGATTTACCGATTATAATTTGTAAATTTATTTTTATTGTAAATCAAATTATAATCATTATTCCGCTTTTTCCGCTCATGGGCGCTTTTTCCGTTCGCGAGCGCTTTATCCGCTCTTGAACGATTTTTTTCGCTCGTGGGCGCTTTTAACCGCCCTCAAGCGCTGAAGGATCAAGCGCCGTTTGCGAGCTTCCGAACCGCTACGTTCCGAGCCAGGTCTTCATTGCTGGGAAGATGTGGAAGTTTTGTTGTTCGACGACAACGCCCACCTGTACACAGTCAACCACCGTACCCGACAGCTCTGGAATGATGCGCGATGGGAGACTTTTGATCACCCTCCATACAGCTCGGATCTAGGCGCAAGCGGCTTCCACCTCTTCCCAGTGATGAAGACCTCGCTCGCAACACAGCACTTGGACAGTGATGCCAAACTTCAAGCCGGCGTTAACCAGTCGTTAAAGTCTCAGGCGGCGGATTTATACAAAGTTGGAATTAAAACACTTGTATGATAAGTGCCTCAATATGAAAAATNGTAAAAAAATTATTGGGTAAATCGGTCATGAAGAATCGCTGGAAAATATTTTCAAGTTCTAAAAATGACCAACAGAGGGCGTAACTGCCATCTTAAATTTTATAATTTCGCATTCTTTTTTCACATTTTTAAAGAGAACCAATTTATCTATCATTTTCGTATAAACAAAAACTCGGTTATTTCAAAAACAAAGATGGTGTGGGGCATTCAATGGTTTTTGCAATAACCTGCTTTAACTTCTTAACCGTTTGACCGATTTTAACAAATTTGGTATGGTCGAAAAGATGCATTTGCACCCTTAATAATTCTACAGGCTGACTGCCAGCAAATGCCGGCCCGTAGAAGAATGCTTGTAGAAAGACGAGGAGTGTACCGGGTGACATATACAGTTAATTTAGTTGAATCCTTCTCCGCCAGGGGGCTAGTTTTGACACTATGATCCAAAATCCTAAAAAAATCAAATGGAATGATATTGACTTTCTCTTTATAAAAAAGTAGCCAAATAACACCCAAAGAGGCCATTGAAAACCGTTTTTCAAAATATCGTTCCTAACCTCAAATATTCGGAAAATGAGATTAATTAATTAATTAAAATGCTTAAATTGTATCTTAAATTTACTTTTTACGTATTTCCGGTATTTGTCGATGGCGTGAAAGAAAAGCACCCTACACTTTTAGGTAGGCCTTGGAAAATTAAACACGATGCATTATAAAATAATAACAGCGATAATTTGTAAATTATTCTGCTGTGTTTACATTCAGAAAGTGCAGTTTTTTGAATTTGTTATCTTTTCTAAAATGCCGATTTCTAACCAAGAAGCATTTAATATGCTGGCGGCGATGGTACAAATTCAAAAAACTGCACTTTCTGAATGTAAACACAGCAGAATAATTTACAAATTATCGCTGTTATTATTTTATAATGCACCATGTTTCATTTGTTTAATTTTCCAAGGCCTACCTAAAAGTGTATGGTGTTTTTCTTTCGCGCCATCGACAAATACTGGAAATACGTAAAAAGTAAATTTAAGATACAATTTAGCATTTTAATTAATTAATTAATTAATCTCATTTTCCCAATATTTGAGGTTAGGAACGAGATTTTGAAAAACGGTTTTCACTGTCCTCTTTGGATGTTATTTGGCTACTTTTTCATAAAGAAAAATCATCATTCCATTTGATTTTTTTGATTTTTGTAGGATGTTGGGTCCTAGTGTCAAAACCAGCCCCCTGGCGGAGAAGGATTCAACTAAATTAACTATATTTTGGTTGATTCTTGTTGCCCAAGGAATGCTCTTTTCAACGATACAAAATTTGTTAAAATGGGTCAAACGGTTAAGAAGTTAAAGCAGGTTATTGCAAAAACAATTGAACGCCCCACGCCATCTTTGTTTTTGAAATAACTGAGTTTTGTTTTTACGAAAATGATAGATAAACTGGT